CCTACCCAAAAATGGCGAACGACCGACGCGCTTCTTCTGTCAATCCGACGACGCAGGAAGACAATGCTATGTAAGCTCGTGATTTTCATGTCTTTCTTCTAGCTTTGCAATTTTTTGTGTGGCATATTGGAGATTGAGCGAAAATTTCTTGTGGGCTTTGACTATTATGATCGATCGTTAGTTTCTTCTCTTTATTCTTTTTGAGCTCTGAATTTGTTGCTGTTTCAAAAGTATGTTCCTTGACTCTGAGCTCTGAATTTGTTGTCGTTTCTCTATCCTCCTTCATTCACTTGCCTGAGCAATGGTGAACGTCTACTCGGCAGATTTCATATCTTGAAAGAATTGCCTGAGTTTATATTTCTTATGTTAAGAAGTTCAAGCGCAGAACTTGAGCACATTTGAAGCTTCTAATTCAATGCTTCTTTCATTTCTTCAAAGTATTTTGCAGATTGGTCATTTCTCTGTGTGTTTTACTGTCATGTCTCTTTCTGCCATTGACTCAATATGTAATCATTAGAAATTCTGGTTTCTATCCTTTACTGGCTCCTCATCTAGTTTCGGAATGGGTTTTTTTACTGTAGGTTTCTTGATATACTGCATGAAGCTCCTCTCTTTGGTCATCGAGAATCTAGGAGTCTTGTTGGAAGTTGCATTTACCTTATCATATTGGCAAGTGCTTCCAAACTGTACTTTTTCCCTGATATTTGCCATTGATGACCTTTAACGTTGAGTTTTGGAACTAATCTTGGAAGAATAATGAGAAATATGAATGCCTGACTTTATGTTTTACTCTTTGTTTTATCTAGGCAGGTTATGCTGTTTTAGCAGCAGGAGCACCGTGGATACTTCAACCTGTACAGTCTTGTATCCCATCATTGCTTTGCAGCTGCAATGTAGCTCTATTGATGTTAACAGGTAACCTAGAGTACCACCCTTCACATTATTACTACAAAACTGTTTAGAATCAGATCAGAAAATTGAGGTTACTGCCTAGTAAATTTGTTCACGAAAACTATATAGGCCTGATATCGTTGATTACTTAGTCCTTTATGTTCTAAAAACTGCCAGTCCTAAGAAGAAGAAAAAAAACTAAATGTCACAAAGAAAAGTGAAACTCTCATCTCGATAGACAGACTGATTTGAGATAAGGTAATATCTGGGACATACTTCAACAAAAATGCTGTTAGTACTGTCTGCGGATTTCTGTCTTTAGTTATTAATGTGGAGTTAGAACAATATTCTCTTGTATAATATATCACAAGTATTTTCTGCAACAGGTATGTTTCAGCAATATTTTGTTAATCAGGTCCAGAAAATACGGCTGCAGGTAACATTTGTTATTTATTGAGTCGATACTGCTCATTTTATTCGTTGTTTAGCTATATAGATATATGTTGGTATTCTCTAGTGTAATTGTTGTCATTTCATCTGAAGACCTTCTGAAAGAACCTTCTATTGCAGGGTTATTACAGCTTCAGTCAGAAATTGAAACATGTAGTTCGACTGCCATTTGCCATCATGGCATATGGTAATCTTGAATGCTATTTTTCCAATCATATATTGTTACATTTATCTATTTCCTGCGCTCAATAAAGTGACTCCGTTTTGTTCTAGGAACTGCATCTATGCTGCTCGTCATGGTTTGGAGACCATATGTCAGTGTTCTTCCCATTTTAACTGTGCAAAGGTCTGTAGCCTTCTTTAGATGTACATTAACTTCTTATACATTTGTATTAGTTTTCTTTTGCCAGTTGAAAATGCTTACAGGTACATTGTTGTTGCAGGTTCATCATGTCTGTTGAAGCAATTTCCGCTGCTTCGTTTATGATTGTATTTGTTGGTAAGCATAATGTCCAGAAAATCCTTCACACTTTAGGCATGCAATATATTGCCAAATATATTCGCTTTCTATTTACAAGATATACCAAATACACCAGGTTCAGCTATTAGGCCTGGATGACTTTCTTAGTCTGGTTTTTCTCTTGCCATCATTGCCAAGTGTCGAGTGTTAGATTTAGAATCTGTTTGCATTTTTCATCTGCCACTGCCTGATCCACAAGGGTTGACGTACGTTGTTCTCTAAAAATTGAATGGCTAGAGCATTGATGCATTCTATTGTATCATGTGTTACTCTATTCTGCCAATTGTTTGTCTTTAGTACGAGATTCTGTAACAAAGTTATGATGCAGCTCTTC